CTAAGTCAAAGACTTAGCGTGTGAGTGTTTTCACATGTAGGTTCAAAGAAGACACAAGAGTAAAGCTAGGTCAGGACATCATATCTTTGGAGAAGATCAGATCAGATCGATTTGAACAGTAGGTGGTTTTGTTATTTTGTAGTTTTGTTGGAATGTACTACAAATGTTTAAATCGCAAATGCTCTGATCTGTTTTGTAACTATACAAATTAAGGTTTATGTAAGTATATTAAATATTTGTTTTCACTTTTTATTATTAATTTTGATTTTAATTAGTGTTAATGAGGGCTTTTCCACTACAATAAAAGTAAAAAGCCAAATTTTAATCAGATTTTCAAAGAGTTAAAGCGTTGAAAAGTCAACGTGACACCTCAGATTCTTATCCTGGTCGGATACGAGTTGAGGATGTTACAAGTTCAGATACCATCTCATACTCATAGTACAATTTAGACTCCAAAAGGGGGTCATAGTTAGGAAATAACATCGGGATCAGTTAGTGGAGGTTGAGCTTCTCAGAGTAGGTTCCAGCCATATTTGAGGCCAAATAGTCTAGGTTGGTTTACGCTGCTAGACATCGACAGGACCGTGTTGAGCCAGATGTGATTGCAGGTACTGTTACTATTTATTTAGTTTCCTACTTTGCATTATTTGATAATGGATCTACTTATTCCTATGTGTCGCATTCCATTTCTAGGGGCCTTAATACTCCGGTTGAGAATACTAAGAGTTCGATGATAGTTCAGAGTCTCTTAGGTCAGTCCATAGACTTAGATCGTATTTTTAGAGGGTGTCCTATAGATATCCATGGGGAGATCTTTCTGGCCGACTTGATAGAGTCAATAGAGGCTCAGTTTCCATATATATTTGCATCAGGTAAATTTCGAGGACGAAATTTCTTTTAAGGAGGAGAGTTGTCACACCCCAAATTAGGGCCTAAAACTTTCTTAAAATTTATTCTGAGGACTAAATTAAAAGTTTAATTAAATTTGGAAACCAAAGTGAAATTTTGATTAAATTCGAATCCAAATTCAGAAAGTATCAAAAATTAAAGGACATATGGCATAATTTTATAATTTTCCTTTTTAAGGATTATATAACCCCAAAATCTAGAAAGTTCCTCATTTGAAAACCTTATTTTCTCTATCTTCAAGCTTTCATCTTTTAGTAAGAAACCTCTTGCACCATCGTGTCATCTCGAGTCCACCGATGTCCATCTTGTCTCTGTTGCCACCAGCGTGTGAGGGGGTGAGGAAGATTAAGTTTTTGACATTGCGAAAGCAAGCTCGCCGTCGTTCACCGGTATGAACCAAGCTTGGTAAGTGTCTCAAAACCCCTTAAAATGCATATAAGAATTTTTGCAATTTTTCTGACACCCGAAGGCCCTGCACGAGCCCCCACTACACTTGGGAAAGTCTCACCGCCTGGTGGGTTTCTAAAAGTGACCTGACCCAACTAGTTTGCTTGACCCGACCCCCTTGTCTGACCCAATCCGATCTGACCCAGTATAACCCGAACTGAACCCATTGACTGTTGACTGTTAATCGCCGTTAACTTTTTTCAAAAACCTCCATCTTGACCTTTTTCGACGTCCTGAGTCCGATTTTGCGATCCATTTTGCAAATTCTGACCCAAAAGCTTCGAATCGAGCCCGTTAATCCCAAAATGCTTAGTATTTTTAGCATTTTTGCTTATTTATTTAAGATTTGAATATGACATTGATTCGAGTACATATTTTTATGAAGATACTCATGTTTCCCCCGACCGATGGTCATTTAGATTCAGTGTTTCCAATTCGTTAGACTCACTCGATCCACATTCTTCGAGAGTTACTCGTAGGTTTTCGTAAATTGTTTAAATAGAGGTTATTATTATTTATATTAGGATTCAGATATAGATTTTTTTATTCGTATGATCTAGTGCTACCACTGATCGTGATCGGTAGACTCTGTAGTAGGCTTCCTTATCAGATTACTCAGGCTGATACATGTATGTTTCCTTATGGTGTTATATTTTTGTTTTAAACTATTTATCTGAATTGTTTTAGACTTCTGATGATACTGAATATTTTTTCGATGTGATACCTGATTTTCTAAATATTTTTTATCTCATATCTGATTTACTGTATATTTCTTCTATGATCTTTGGTTATTATATTTTTGTATCTGATTTCTGAGTATGAAATATTTTCATGTTTTAAAGGATTAAACTATCGTTTCACTCGAAAACATGCATGTTTATTACTGTCATTGGGGGTATTATTGGAGGAAGTATATCAGGTCTAATCTATGACTTGTAAGACCTTACTATACGCTCATCTACTTTGTGTTCAGGGTAAGTCCTTACCGTAGGTCCTTATGCTATATGTATAAGGCCCTTATAGGGTATACATGTGGGTATATGGTTCTGGGAAACCTACACATCCTGGTGATCGAATGGGGGTAGTGTTCATATTTTTAAAACATGTTTGATGAATTGATTTTTACTAAAGTATTTTATTTGTATGTTTTTATACACTGTAAGGAGCACACTGGACATTTTAGCTCATTATGTAAATTTTAACATTTTCAGATAGTAGCAGACCTTATGCTAACAGACTTGGAATCGTGAGGACCAACTACTCTTATTTTTGTATCACTTTGTATTTTTATGTCTTTAGTTATACTTTAGTAACACGTGTTTTTGCTACTGTCTCGATTTATTTGTATTATCGATATTTTGTTATGTATATGTTTTATATGGTTTTATGATATATATATCGTATGAATCTTTCTTATGGCTAATTTCATATTATACTGTTATATGGATTTTAACATTATTTTAAATATGAAAAGAGTTTTTAAATACAATATGCAACCTTTTAGATTTGGTCATAACGTCCAGACTGGGTCACAGGTTGTAATTTTATTTTAATCTTTTGATTTTGAAATCCAATTTTTCTCAATTACTTTAACACTTGCAAACAAAATATCAACGATTTGCTTGATTCTTTTACTTACACATTACTGCCATCTATTAGTTGCTTTAATCATTTACTTGTACAATATCTTCTTTAGTCAAATGTATTTGTCCAAGAATTGAATTTCTTCTTTATTTTATTTATAACATTATTATTTTTATTTACTTTATAGTGAAAAGGTAAAATACATATAATATTATAGTAAAATACATGTTGTAGTGTGAATACTAAATAATATAGAATAAGAGGGAAGACTTTTCTTCCTTCTTTAATTTGATTTATAATAAGGTATTATAAAGTGGATTTCTCTTTTATGCAGTTTTTTTATAATAATAAATAAGCATAGAATTATGGTACTTAATTTCAATTTAAGAATTTAATTTAAAATTAATTCAGTCAATTTTAAGAGATGATTCAATTTAAAATAAATTTGGTTTAATTTAAAATAACGTGAATAAATAATTTAGATAATTTAAATTTAAGTAACTAGCTTTAAATATAACTATTATAATATATTAATGATATATATTTATAATCCATTTTTAAGGATTAAATGAAATATATTATCTATGTAATTTTATATTTCGGATAATATAAAGTTTGTTGCGGTATTACGACACAATTTATAGTCTGTGATGGTTTTAAACCGCAATGGTCGTGATGTAGTTTTCTTATCACGTTGTGCCGATATTGCGTCACAATGACTTTCAAAATCGTTACGAAGCGAATGTTACAATGTATTACGACCGCAATTTAATACTATGTCTGGACCTGATTTCGAATCCGATTTCGACCTCGAAAGTTGCGGCACGTTTTTCGGGAAGTTGACGGTGAGGAAGCAAGTTATGTCGTTGAAGGACTTTGGAGGAGTTGGCCATGGGAAAACGTCTAATACGACGGCGTTTAGGAAGGCGCTGGATTACATGCAACGTTTTAGTGAGGATGGGGTCAGCTTAATGTCCCCGAAGGAAAATGGCTAACGGGAAGCTTTAATCTTACAAGTAATTTCACGTTGTTTCTTGAACATGGTGCTGTTATTTTAGGCTCTCAGGTCAGCTAATGCTCTGTTTTCTTCCCTATTTATTTTTTGAAGGGACAAAATTATAAAATTCTATAAGAGAAAATATATTATCAATAGAGAATACAAAGAAATTATCTAAAATATACGATAATTTGAAAATTTTAGAGCTCCACTGGTCCATCCCTAGGTTAGTCTGTTTCCCCTGTATAAGTGCTTTCTTCATCTTCATCTTCATCTTCATCTTCATCTTCATCTTCATCTTCTTTCACAGCTTCGAGTACTTTGCTTTTTAATGAAATCTAGGTTCAGTCATGTCGAATTTTTCCATGTTTTGATTTTTCTCATGGCATTTTGTCTTTAAAAGAGAAACAAAGTTGGCTAGTGGTGCTGATGTGCAACTTCAACTAAAGGAGCCCCATTAATTAATTTATTTTTTATTTCTCATTTCAGTTTAAATTGAGCTGTTTTCACTTATAGGCTTCATTGGTTCTATTGAGGAAAAGAGAATACCATGAATGTCTTGATCAAACCAAGTTATATGTATTTGTTTTGGGAGCTTTGAATCAAGTTGGTTAGAAATTTGTTTCTTGCTACCCAGCAGCTTGTTTAATGAAATTTGCATATACTGGTTATTTAATTTATGTCGGTCATCCCATTAATTTGTTTTATCAACTTTGAACTTAAGACATAAGTGCAATGCAGGGTGTGTGGAATCTAAAGGTGAATCATATGACAAGCACGAGAAGAGTTTCAGTTGCTCATGAAATTGGGGTGTCATGGATGAAGGGGATAGTCCAATCTTCTGACATTAGATATGAGATTCATGCATACTGCAATTTTGTCAAATATGTATATTCATTGAGCAGTTGCTATTGCTTGGGTTGACAGATTTGTCTGGTTCTGTTTATATTCATCACATTTGTAACAAAGTGTACGTCATGTATGTATGGTGGTATATAACATTATTGATATCAGTTGAGATACATAGTTAATGATTGTAGATGACAGGATTTATTGAACTCATTAAGATAACCATGCATAGATGAAGCAGGATCCATCTGCAAACTTTTTGATGGTTTATGCAGCAGCATAACAATTCACAAAAAAAAAATGAGAAAATTAGATACATGGTTTTAAGTGAAAATTACATTAGAGATCTCTTCACCATTTCCAAAACACATTGGAACCGCACTTGTATTTGTCCTTCCCTTCACACTCCAAGGCCAAATCATCAGAGATGAAGGGTACTTTCTGCATCCACAGAACCAACAAAAGAAATATTCAACCAAATATCATGTCACCATCATCAACAAAACTTGTAAAAAACCTAGAGAATGAGAGTTGTGGAACCTTTTGCTTTGCAAGATCCTGACATCCAGTAAAGTTCTCAGGGAACTTGCAGCTGCCAAATTGAACAGTGTATGCTCTCGCAAAGTTTGCTCCAGTTGTGGCCAACCTCTTCTTGTCATTCAATTCCTGCGCTTTCCCAGCTTATTCTGTGTTAAAAACTACAACAAATCTCCCAAGTTTTCAGTTGTCATAGAAAACATACCTTGTTAGCTTTGCTCTTTTCGAGGTAATCGTCGATGACCCCCGCATTTGCGGAAGAAGCGGCGGCTGTGGTGAAAAGGGTAGCTGCCAAATACAGCATAGCAGTTCTTCTTCCTTCACTGACATCTGATTCTTTGGAGTCAGAGACTTTAGCCTGTTGAGCTCTGATCACAGGCAACCTGTGACGACCACACACAACCGGGGAAGCGAGTGATGGCACTGAGGCGAGCTTGGCATTAAGTCCAAATGATCCACTGCTCGAGATTGCATAGCTGCATGTCAAAACGCTGGAGTTCATGGCCGCCATTGATACAAAGCCAAAAATGAAGGTTAATTATCTTTACAAAGTCGTTGAATATAATAGATTTGTGAATGGGGATATTTGATAAGGAGTGATGATTTGGATAATAGGATATGGCTGGAGTGTGGATAAGGTGCGATTGCCTCACTCTTATTGGCAAACTCCTCTCATGGGTTTTTTTTTTGGTGGAAAGCTTTACTTTTGGGTCCACTTTGGAATCTAAAATTTGTGCTTTCTATTACATCAATACCTAGCACTTTTGCATATATTGTTTAACATTTATGTTCACCGAGAACATGGGAGATTCTGATGCACACCATAGGGTTAGGGCACTGAGTGACCTGTTTCATTAGATCAACTGATTGTTAGTAGTTTTAAATTCACTCGGCACCATTAGAGCAACCGAGTGTTAGTAGTTTTAAATTTTTTTTTCAATAGCTTTTAACTGTACCAATACTTTTTTTTTTATTTTTATTAGTACAAAATGTTTGTATTTTAAAATTATGTTTTTTAAGAACATAATCATTTAATTCGTAATTCTAAAATTTTATTTCTATTTAAATATACTTTCATATATAATTGAGATATATTTGTGCGTATATATAGCTACATAGATGAAAAATATTTTAAAAGATAACTATAAACCTAAACCAATATATTGTAAAAAAAACAATGCATCTAACCACAACCACAAAGGCACAAGGCATTTTGACCATCATTTCAATAAATATAAACACACTAAATAATACTAAAAAAACCGGGGCTCTCATGTTTGGCTGCATTCCTTCAACATATTAAGAAGCTCTCAAGCCTCATAAAATCTGGCAACTTTGATTACGAAAGCAGTACCGGTTCAACAATCATCAGAATATACACATCTCGGTTTCGAATGAGACGCTTATAGAATGTATAAACGCCTTTTAAACAATTCATTACACACACCATCCATTTTCCTTCTTTCAAGATAGAGTTTAGAGAACGATAATAAAAAAGTAGCCATTAAATTTTGAAAGGGCAGATGGCTAGCTCCAACCTGTTAACCCTAACCGGTCCGCAACATTATACATTACCAGTTGATCCCAGGTAGGACCGAAAAGTTGTTCTCCTCCTAGGGCAAATGTCAACACCCAAGAACACAAAAGAACTGAAAACACGGAAAACCCAATTGCTGATGCTACAACATCTGCAAAATAAATGTTTATTATAACAAATGAATAATAATCCCATACTACAAGAAAAAGAAAGTAGAGAACCTGGAAGAACAACATGGGAAACTTAAATGATAGATTTTATATCGATATTTTTCACAATATAACCCCAAACCCCCCTAAAAAAAGGTTTATTATGCCATCTTCTTAAAAAAAATCCCCTTTCTATAATGTCGCAAGAGGAAATTGAAGGAGATATAAAATCAAAATCTTCTAATAATATTGACAATTTGTTTGGAATTAATATATTTGTTTGCCACGTGGAAAAAGTACACAACTTTTGATGGAGAATAAAAATATTCAAGGGTACATTAAGATGCAAAACATCCAAAGTCGATTATTAACATTTAAACTTTCAACTTTCACTCAAAAGAAGAAAAAACATGCATAGGTTAAAAAAGTTCTACTATCAAGAGCACAAGGCGCTCTCTTAGGTACTAAAACTCTTTTATTACCTAGGGCACAAAAAATAACACACTCAATTTGTGAAATAAGGTGCATGCGCACACACATTATAGTGGCCTCTTCTAATAGAGATTAGATTTTTCCCTCCTTTTATAAGAAAACTGGAAAAAGGAACTTAAAAGAAATCAAAGAGACTTTAGTTAGAAGAGCTTTCTAATTTCTATGCGTTTTGCTAAAAAAAACTGCAAGCTAGCATAAGGCATGCACCTCATAACATGCAACTCTTCTAGTTCTTTGTAGGTGCATGATGTTTATTTAGTGCTGCACCTTAGCATCAAGGCATATGCCCTAACATCTTACTGGGGTGATAGAAGCATTTTCCCAACTTCTGTTCTAGGAAAACAGCATTACACGCACACAAAAACTAGTAATTATTGTATTTGTCAAAGCCAAAAACCAAAAACAAAATTTGACAAAGCAATTCATGTGTCAAACTGTCAGTACCAATTCCACATGATTCATATTCAAACGTTTATGTTTCTCTGTTCATAAATGTGTCCGTCATAAAGATAGTCTTTTCAGTTACTTTTACCAACCAAACTACCAAAGTGACAAAAAAATCCATACCTATATAAGAAATATAGAGGATTAAGTAGACCCAACAATCAACAATAACTATCAGAATTTTAGAAAGCCAATAGAGAAGATTTTGTTAAAGAACCTTCTCAAAGCCTACATTGTCTGCTAATACAGTTGTACACTGTAGAACCTATGCTGTTAATGCGTGCTACCAAGGGCTAAGGAACATAGCTAGATAATGTAAAGATGCAGCACTAAACAGCAATTGCACCTTCTAAGCCTCAAAGTGAGGTGCTTTTGAAACTCCATGCCTTGTGGTACCACAATTCTTAGTAGCAAATCAGCTAAGCCCACCTCCTTGTCCCACAAATAACTGGATTATGTAACTCATTCCCATACAAGTACCGCAAATTGGTACATACCAAGTTCCTTGAAACTATGGGCAATGTTGTATTGCACCAGTTCCTAGCTTCTCCACAGCATATAAGCCAAGAGGATGGAAGAGAAAACTGTTGTTTGGCAACACCAAATAATTTACCTATCCATCTCAGCAATGCCAATTAAGGAGCAGAATAACTGAACGAGTTAAATGGTATGACTTTCGACTTTGCCTATCAATCATTACAATTAGGAAACCAAATTCTCAGCAATATTCCAGATTGTGACGTTGGACCTAAAATAAGGCTATTGGATTCCAGATTGTGACGTTGGACCTAAAATAAGGCTATTGGATTCCAATGAAACTGTGTGGAACTCTGATTTGGTTCCAAATAGACTCTGCAAAGGGACATAGCTACTGACTTGCAATTATGTAGGTCAAAACCACTTAGATTAAAAACGCAAATAATTATTGCAGTCATAATTGTTAAATAGAAAAGTAAAATCATGTACTTTTATTATTCAAATATAGAGTTTTCAATTTTAATTATATAAAATTAAGCCAACCTTATTTCTTCTCATCCATATGAATCCTATGATTCCCATAGATTGATATGCCATTAAGAAACTTACACTAATAAGCAGCTCAGCATCAATAAAGAACCACAAAAAAATAAAATAATTTGTTTTTACTATGAAGAAAAAACTAAAATTTTGAATCTTAATCAAGTCGCTAAATTCAAAACATCAACAAAGATTTAGTAAAGAATTCGAAAACTTCTCGAATAAAGAAGTAAACGAAATATTAGAAAATATGAGTTAAGAAAGGATAATTACAGGGGCGAAGTCGAGGGAAGGAGCGAGAGTGACGGAGAACGGGCCAGAAGTAGAAGCAATTAACGGCCCAAAGAAAAGGAAGAAGCGCATAGCCGAACTTGTAGAACCTCCGAACGTAGGATAACGATTCTTCCTCCGACAGGCCCAAGGGACCGTCGATTGTGGGCCAAACCGGCGTCGACGACAGTATAGAATTGCTATTGCTTGGATAATTGTTGTTAGGGTTGGGATTTTGCGTTGCGTTCGTTGATGCCTGTGACTGTGAGACTTCCATTTCCGATCTACTATTCCGATACGATGTCCTTCGAGCTCAAACGCTGTGCCTTTCTTTCGTGAGAAGAGAAGGAAGACCCACTACCCTTCGGTTTTCTATTTGACACATTAAAAGAAACAAAATCGAAAAGGGTTAAATCCCTCAATGGCCACTCACCGTTTATTGTACTCACATTTTGGTCACATAACAAGGATGGTCACCCACGTTGACTGTCACTTATTTTGGCCATCCAACTTTAAATGGTTTCAATTTCATCACCGAATTTATTGAAATTTAATTTTTTAGTCACTCGCCCTTAAATAATTAAGGGAATGATGATGTGGGCTTTGTTTTAATTGGCACAACAATACATTTCATCAATAATATTATCCTTCTATCAAGGTAGGCTTATTTATAAAAAAAAAAACAATAAATTTAACTCTCCATATTTATAACAGACGTTTGATTCGCAAAAAAGACTATTTCCTAAAGGAATAATCTTTTCTAGAATTATATTCCCATGTTCAGTAATAAATGAATTGTTATTATGTCAAATTTAAAAACTAACATCAGCTTCTCGTATATAAATTAAAGGTTGGTGACAAAAAAATCAAAATTAATAAATCGAATGATCATTTTGTAATATTTAGTAGTCAAGTGACCAAAAGAGAAAAAAAAGAGTCAATGGTTCACCCTGTAAATTTAAAAGAAAAATGTTTATATGCAAAATAATTGAGCCATGATAAGTGAACTTTTCTTTTTCCTATTTCAAATTGAAGTTAACGAAAGGATGCATAAATTACATTAAAGAATATTAGCAAAATGCAGAAGTAAAAGAGAACAAGAAGGTACCCCCAACCAATACAAATACAACATAAAATCTTCAGTTTTGAACCCATTTTCCACCACCCCATTTGCTGTCTTCCATGGGAACTTGGTTGACACATAAACAATGCTCAAAAGTTGTCAGGGTGTGTGTTACACACTTACATTTCCTCACTCACAGGATGCAAGCACCGTATAAACACTGCTCTACAATAACACACTAAGACCGAGATTTCTCCCACATCTTCGCTCTCGCAAAAAACACTCCAGCTAAAAGACCTGTGAAATGCAATGGCAATGGCATCTTATAAAAGGAACTTGGAAAAAGAGGTCAAGGAGTGGAGAAATGGTTTGATGATAACATTGGAAGAAACATAATTCCGTTCTCGAGCCTGTTCAATACACTAGAGCTTACCGAAGAAAATGCTTGCGGAGTTTTCCAAACTAGAAGGGACCTTGAAAAGAACAATCCCGGCTATAGAGAGAGGAATTTTGTTCAGCGACCCTACGAGGCTACGGAAAACAAAATAAGTGAATCCACCTACAATAAGTACTTTTAACCACTAATTACACAAAGTACAAAGTAACTTCAGTGATCCCAGCAACAGAGGA